ACCAAGTTCTGTACCCCTGAGCTACTTCCCAGATTTTCCATCTATTACTTTTTAAATTAAAGTAACCTCTTATTTGAATTGTTGTTAATCATAACTTATTACTGATTCAGAATCTGCATCTTTATACCATTAAAAATGAATGGCAAAGGCCTTAATCAATTGTGAGCCATAACTTTAATTAAAACAGATATTAGACTAGTTCGCTAAATTCTCTAATCCTTTAAAATACAGGGTTATGCAATAAGGAAGCTTGTATGCAGTAACCTCCTCCCCTCTTTATAAGGCATGTTTATGATAACAATTTATTAAATTCTATCAGTGCTAGATCACCCCAGGGTTGAGAGTTTTCTTTCTATTTTCATACAGTTTTAAAGGTTGTGCTCATGTGGTCATTCCCCTCAGGAGGAGACAAGGCCAGTGGAGATAATGTGGCAGAAAGCCAATTTTAACTACATCTACATCAGTGAGGCCCAGACACAGGTGTTGGAGCTGCCCTATGCTGGCAAGACGCTGAGCATGATCATCCTGCTCCCAGATGAGGACGTGGGCCTCAGTGTGGTGAGTTGGGGGGGGGCTGCACTCCTTTGAACTCACAATTTCTGTGGGAAGAATTGGGTACACCCTGTGACTCTCTTCCACAGTATCTCCAACCCAAGAGCCCAAATGGCCCAGCCCTGTCCTCCTTGCTTCCTTGTAATATGATCCTTATAGAAAGAGAGCCAACCGTCTTCTCAAGGGTGGCAGTGCACTGTGATGACCTAAAGGGTCTCTGTGAGCAGAGCAGCTCCCATGGGCTTTCCCTTTCTCCAGGTCCCTAACTGTGAGGATGAGTTTCCACAAACAGTGCCTCATTTCACCTTAGGCACTTGTCCCTCTCCTGGAGAGGCTCACACTGAGAGCTCTTCCAGTCTCTTGTGCTTGCCAGCAATGGTTCATTGTGTTGAAACTAAGCTTCATTCAAACCAACATATACCACAAGAAAAGCATCACTGACTGGGGATAAATGTTTTTCAGAAATAAATATGTTTTGTTTGTGGATGGATAAGGAGGGGCAGCCACAGGGAAATGACATATGGGATAGTGTGTGGGATGGTGGACAAGTCAGAGCCCTCACAAGCTTCTGGGCAGCTGAAGGCACTGCTCATCTTGTGTGGATGTTCATGGAAATGTGTGTGTGTGCACCAATACCCTCCATAGTCTGACTATGAGCTTGTGATTCTGGTCTTTCAGGTGGAAAATAGCCTTACTTTTGAAAAATTCCTAGACTGGACCAAGGCAGCATCTTTGCAGAATATTGAAGTGAAAGTTTTAATTCCAAGATTTAAACTGCAGGGGGATTACAACATGCAGTCTGTGCTTCAGCATCTGGGAATGGTTGATGTCTTCCAAGAGGGCCAGGCTGACTTGTCTGCAATGTCAACTAAGACAGACCTGTGTCTGTCCAAGTTTGTGCACAATAGTGTCTTGGAAATAAATGATGAAGGCACTGAGGCTGTGGCAGGCTCAGACATATACGATGAAGAATTCAGCTTTTCATATTTACCATTTTTCCATGCTAACCACCCCTTCCTTTTCTTCATCAGGCATAATGCAACCAACACTCTTCTATTCTGTGGCAGGTTCTCATGTCCCTGAGGATTGTAATTGCTCTCCATGGGGAATTTCCCTCTTCTATGTCCCCAAGTTCCCACTACAGTTCATAAGGATGGGCCTTTAGGTGAACACCAAGTAGGAAGATGAGGGCAGGGTCCTAAGCCTTCTGAACAACTTGCCAGTGTGATCTCATGATGCACACACTCAGGTGTCCCCACATTGCCCACTCATTGTACCACAGAACCAGGTCATGGCCAATAGGTTGTCCTGATTCCCTGTTGTATTAGGATGAGTGCAGTACAGATGCCTAGGATAGCTTGCAAACTTTCCCCAGATGGCCCTGAACACATTTCCCAGTCATTTCAAATGCAATTCCTTCTACTTATCCTGTGCTTTCCTGTATTTTACACTTGTCACACACCTGCCTTAGCTGAGTGCCACAGCAGTAATAAATGCTGGTATATACTGTTACTATTATTCAAGTTTAAAGAACAACAAGTTTTAGTCTGGAGGTGTGTCTCAGTGGTAGATCACTTGCCTAGCATATGTGAGGCACTAGGTTTGACCCTGAGCAGCACATAAAAATAAAAATAAATAAAATAAAGACATTGTGTTCATCTACAATGAAAAACCACTTTAATACACATTTTAGTTTTGTTTATCTTTGGCATTAACCCTTCATCATTCAGCATATATAAGCTAAGAATTGTAATAGATAATAGGGACACAACAGGACAGAGTCATGGTCCTTTGATATCTGCGCTTTAATGTGTGATACAAATTTATATAGAGTTTATGACAACCAGATTGGACAGTTGAATGGCTTTGAACTGCCATATACCCCCCTTGCAGCTAGAACACCTTGCCTGGTGGTATTGCATTTCACTACCTCCAGCCCAAAGAGTTAAAAGCCATTAGCCCTTAATGTTCAGTTCACCTGTCATCTTCTTCAAGACGTTACATCTTTGAACTTTCACAATAACTGCCCATGATCAGTTTCATTGCTTATTTATTAATCATTTTTATTATTAATCTTTTGACTAGGCCTTAAATCTCCAGGATTTGTGATTATATTCTACTTATCTTCGTGTTATAGTACACTAATAAATAATTTGATCATATAACCACTGTACTGTTTTTTTAGTTGTTGAATATCACCAAGTTGTTGTTTCTTTTAGATATTTTTATCCCAATGACATTCACATATACATAGTACAGTGCCATCTAATACATGGCTCAAAGATGTTGTGCAACCATAAGGTTTACTGTGTACCTAAAGGTTTTCATTGGCTCCAAGAAAATCCACTGTTTGCTAAGCAGTGAATTCTCATCCCCTCCTCCCTCTAGTCCCTGGCAACCATGAATCTGCTTTTTTGTGTCCATGGATTTACCTGTTCTGCATATTTCATGTAAATTGAATCATAAAATATATTACCTTTTGTGTCTGGCTTCTTCACTTAGTGTGATGTGTTCTAGGTTGAGTCTTATTGTGGCATGTATCATTATTTAATTCCTTTTTATGACTGAATAATATTCCAGTACCTGAATATGACACAATTGTTTTATTCACTCATCCATTGATGGAAATTTGGATTTTTACTCCTTTGTGGTTGTTTTTAATAGTCCTGCTATGAAACTGCATGTATGTGAATTTGCTTGAATAACTATTTACACTGTTCTGTGTATATACAGATTTAGTAATAGAATTGTTATTCATAAGATAATTTTATTTAACTTTTTGAAGACTCACCAACCACAGTGGCTGAACCATGTCACATCCCTATGATCAATGTATGAGATTCCAATTTCTCTGTATACCTTTATTTAAAAATTGCGAACACACTAATGGTGATTCTTTCCATGGTTGTCAGATGCTCTGCCTCATCCCTGGTCCAGTGCCCTGGAGCTGGCCAACCATGGATGGAGACTCTGCAACTGTGAGCCAAAAGGAAATCTCCTTCTCCTGGTCATTCTGGTCAGATGTTTTGGCCACAGCAATGAAGAGCTGAATAACACAAAGGCCCACAGCTGATTGAAAAATGCCTAGAATAAGTGGTCCAGCTACATTCCTGCTAGAGGTAGACCTCTCTCTGGTGTTCAGAATTGATAGTTTTCCATTGATTTTAGGATAAAGATTAAGCTCCCTTTTGAGAGCTCACCAGGTATTTCCTGATATAACCTTTTCTCCTGTCCCTCTTTGCCATTTCTCAATGTCAATCCTTCACTTTAGCCTTATAGAATTATTTGCAGTTTCTGACTATTCCACACTCTGCCTTTTCTTTCGGGCTATACAGTTATGACCAATGATAGTTAGCTTCCCATTACTGTGACAGAGTACTTGTGATAATCAACACAAAAGGAGGAACCACTTATTCTAGGTCACAGTTTCAGAGGTTTCAGGCTTGGTTGGCCTCTTTGGTTGCTCTTGTGCCTGTGTCAGGACAGTTCATCATGGTGGCAGTAAGTGATGGAGCAAAGATGCTCACTCACTGTGGCCTGGAGAGCAATGGAGGAGGTGGCTGGTGTCCTGAATATTCC